AATAGACAAAATCTTCTATAAATTTATTGCAAAATCGATGAGTTCTCAAAACAATTGACATTTGTAAAATTACTAAATAGGAACAATTTTGTGTTTTCATTTTTTTATTGTTTATTTGGTTATCCTAAATTCTTTGAATGTTCAATACTCTATTTGATAATTATTTACGTTTTTATCAGCAAGTTATAGTAACATATTTGAAACTAAGACAATGCAACTTGAAAGCTTGATCAAATTTTTGGAACTAAGACGATGAAACTTTTGGTACTGATACAATATAGTAATAGAATCCTAATTAAATGTTCGGAACAATGAAACTTTGGTGCTACTACAATAGATTTAACTTACGTACTGTCTACGCTACGCTGATAGTATAAAGAATTTTTACACTATCAGTAGTATGTGTTAACAGTTATAGCACGTAACCTGCCTATTTTCCGTGTACGTGAAAATAGGCACAGCCTTCACTTCTTTGATGCCCATGCAACTGAAATAGGACTTCTAACTTTCTGGTATTTATCTCTGGAGTTGATCCACATCAATTGTCCTTCTCCAAAGCTTCTCCTTTGAGTCCCAATTCTCTTCCTTGATATAAACCAAACTCTGTAACTTAAACTTTGATTAACATGTTTAAATACCAGACGTCGCGGTTTAACTCTCACTTTAACTCCTTCTGGTGCCACAATTTCAACTGAGTAGATTGAATTAGGACTCCCCACATTTGTCACTCTCCTTGTGATCATTTTTCTCGTTTTTCCTGCCTTAAAGAGTACGGAAATAGAGGGGTAATTGAGGCTAAAACCCCTGTTTTTCTGTAAAACGTCGTGGCAGCTAACATTCTTGTGAGTAATGCTGAAGATTTCTGAGTTTTTGTAACCAATAGTGCAAAGGTGAGTGATATAGTCATTTGCATTAATGTCATATATCAATCCGGGATCATCGGATCTTCCAGGATTTACATGTCCAGCTCCTATGGCGAAAAGTCCAGCTCGTGTGTCACCATCCATGATTGGTTTTCCTTGGTGGTTTGTTGTCTCTGCAGTTGTCATTAGCGCGGATTTGATTGCAGCTGGTGACCATTTAGGATGAATTGAATGGAGTAGTGCAGCAATGCCACTAACATGAGGACAAGCCATTGAAGTTCCTGATAAGACAGTGAAGTTTACTCTTCTTGAATCCTCAGCCAGGCCACTAGGGCCTAGATTTTGTGGCCAAGCAGCGATTATGTTGACACCTGGAGCAGAGGCGGATTCAAGATTCTGAGTTCTACGAAGATATAGGTTCAAAAAATAACATTACACTATTTATTAAAGTTTTTTTCACATGCATATAAAAAGAGCATCCCGTGTTCACGCATGGTCTGGTGAAGGCCTTCTCCCTTAAAGAGTGTGATGTAAGCAGTATACCCTGATTCAAGCATCAGTGACAGATTCCATGGCTCGAATCCCTAACCTGTTGGTCACATTGCTATCTATGATCTAAATAAATAATTGTGGGTTCAATAAAAACTGACCTGGAGCAATCACATCAGGTTTGAGAATTGAAGGATCAGTAAAACTTGGACCCCTTGAAGAAAATTGTGCTACAGCAGGTGCACTAGATTTTCCTATAACTGTTCCTCCAAATATGATTCGAGCTGTTGGTTTTCGCGTAGAGTTCATATAGGTTTGCAACTGAATTGATTCGTCGAAACCAATCAATGTTGCAGGTAGGACATGTACGTCGACAGAATCTTCCTCCATATTTACTGCTGTATTTGCTAGGATCATGGCAACACCACCTGATTCTTTAACAACTTGACCTTTCTCTGCTCTTCCATTAACTCCACGATCACATACAACGATTTTTCCACGGACTTTTGCTCTTGGAAGAGACCCTCTTAAGCAAAATTCACTTCCATTATCACCGTCATTGAGATAAACAATCTCAAGAACTTTCTGAGAATTATGAACTTGTTTGCCCGGGTACAAGGATTCTCCATACACATACTTGCCATTACCTGTTGGAAAATATGAATGAGGGACACATAATTTAGGCTGGAAACACGCGAAATATCATTTTAAGAAACAAAATGTGACATACCTAGCTGAATTATTGCTGGAAATTTCCTGTCAAGTGTGCTAGCACCAATAGTGGCAATCCAAGGAGCCTCATTTGCTACTGAACTTAGAATTGGACCATTATTTCCTGCAGCACATATAACTGAAATTCCACGTTCCATAGCTCGAAAACTGCCAATAGCAATAGTATCCTCATAAAGTGGAACAGGGAAACCACCAATTGAAAGAGACAATATGTCTACTCCATCTCTAATAGCTACATCCATTGCAGCAAGTATATCAGAACTATAACAACCACTGGACCAACAAACTTTGTATATCGCGATATGAGCACCAGGGGCCATCCCTCGAGCCTCTCCTGCTCCATTTCCAAGCACACTCGCCATTGGAACGGGAGCTCCCCCTGCAGTAGATGCTGTATGTGTACCATGTCCTTGAGAATCTCGAGGTGATACATAATCCTCCATAAAATCTATTGATTTTGATGTCTTTGATGCCATCATGTGTCCTATCTGGAAAAACCTTGCACCAATAAGCTTGCGATTGCAACTTGAAGAATTGAAGTTTTTTCCTTCTTGGCAGATACCTTTCCATTTCTTTGGAATAGGAGACATTCCATGATCAACAAAACTTGGACTTTCTGGCCAAATTCCAGTATCAAGAACTCCAATGATCGCGCCTCGACCAAATCCAGACTTTAACCAAGTACCTTATTAGAAAAAAAAAGATACAAAGACAGTATAAAAGTAAGTAAGAAGAAAGGCTCCGAGGCACGAAATCAAATTCCCCTAAGATACAACAAGAAGTCCACTATATATTGCAAATTGACTTAACCAAGTAGTTATAGAGATGAAAGAAGGCTATTGACAAACATGTTCCTTAAATTTAAAGCTTAAAAATTCAAGTATTAAATGAAATACATAGAAAATATCTATTAGCAGAGTTGAAGGGAACCAATGGGGTTCGGTTGAATCCCCTTTGTTGAAATATTTTTACTTCGAAAACAAGGTAAAGACAAATCCTTTTTGCTATATATGAACTGTTGAATCACATTGACATAAGAAATGACTCCAGAGCAGTTGTAAAGGGGGTTTAAGAATTTTCCTTAATTCACAAGTTTAAATCCTACGTGTGACACTCCAGACTAGTCTTTTAATAAATAAAGCCTTATGACTCATTGTTTCCTCAACTTTATATACATTACAAACTATGTAACATACCTTCCTTTGTAGGACTAAGTCCTAAGAACTTGTAAGAATAAGTTGTTTGAACCTCAAGCTTCCTCTCCGGATATATCGATAACACATTATTCGATTTCTTCAGTGCCTTTAGCTCATTTTCAGATAGAAGAGCTGCAAAACCTTCAAATGCAGAATGGTAAGAGTACAAAAGGCGAGAATTCGAGTTTTCGCCTGAGGAAATGAAATTTTCTAGAAATGAAAGGTGACACTGAAGTTTAGAACTAAAAGGGGTTCTTGTTGATGCATGTTGTGGATGTAATTGTACTATATAAGTTTGCAAATTTTGAGCTTGTAGCAGGGGAATAAAACAGAGTAGAAAACAGAGAAAATAGAATTGGAAATTGAGTTCCATTGAATTATATTTGAAGTTGAATAATGGAATGTTTGTTGATATAATTTGATGGGGGTATTTAAAGGGGTTGAACAGAATTCAAAATTAGAATTTTGAGACATGTTTGTGAAACAAAAGAAGAAACTCGTGAAATTTAAGAGCTCCTCTTCACGAGGTGCTGATCAAGATTTCAAAAAGTCCAGAAACATTCCCAACTTCTTTTTTTAAAAAAAAAAAAACTGGTTTTCTGTTGTATGTCTGGATTCCGACTAAATTGAAATTCACACAAGTTAGTACACATATGGTAAAGATTCGTCGAATTCGTATAGAGTGCATAGGGTGAAGATAAAGCACTTGGAATCATATCTTGAATCTAAGACCACTGATTAAAGATAAATGAATACTACTAAATTTGAATTCGCACAAAATAATTCACACATAGGGTAAAGATTCGTCAAATTCGTATAGAGTGCATAAGGTGAAGATAAATCACTCTAAATCATATCTTGAATCTAAGACCACTGATTAAAGATAAATGAATACTTACTAATCTACTACATCCTTGTTGGTAATAAATTTGTAGTATATTGGAAAGAAATTTTTAGAACGTGAAGATTTTGTTCATTTAATATTTTCAATTGTTGACATTTTTTTTTCATGGCACACGCTCCACTTCACCGTTGCCTTTTATAAATTGTTACTGCATTTGAGCATTGAATTGAGTCACGCCGAGCTTCTACGTAAAATATTGGCACATCATTTGAGGCTCCTTTTGAAACAAAAAAACTATATGTAACTGTTCATGACATGTATAATTAACTAACCTAAAAAAACAAGATACAGTAATCTGCTATCACATGTTAAAATACACTGATAAATTATGCTATCTTTCCCAGAAAATGAGGGATTAGATAAGCAAAGGGAGAGTGAGAATGATTAAATTTCAAAAGTTCGAATATCACACAGGAAAGTAAGTGAGAAACCACTAGTAGACTATTAGAAGAATCTGAGTTTGAATAACAAATAGTATTAAAAAGGATTCATACAAAATCATGACACTAATTACAATTGCATATTCAAGTGATATAAGTTACCAGCCTTAAAACTGCCAATCCCACAAAAAAGGTGGGGATCTTTTTTAGGCTATTTTCTCACTTCTCCGATCATGCTATTGAAAAACTCACTTCATCGATCTATTCAGACCGCCAGTTCTTTTCCTATGATAGTATCTATTGGTACATTCAACATTTGGAGGAAAGAACTGTCAATGTAATCATAATCATGCCTGAATAAAGTTGCTCCTTGCCGCCTGAGCACAGCGCCTTCCTATGCTACAACATTTGGTATACTATAACATGCAACAGCAGAAGTTAGTCCAGTACTGTGCCCATCTCCTCTTGCAATTCTTGTCTGAAATTACTAATAGTTCAAGCACGTCTTTTCTTCAAAATGTACTACTCGTTCTCATAGCTTGAAAGACGAGCATCTGACAAAACAGTGAAAAGTTGTGTATCCACAAAATGCTGCATAACAAGGAAGAGAATAAATCAAAGGAAAGAAATGTTGGGAGTCGATGAGCAGAAAGGGATAGATAAGTACAGCCATCAGCGACATCGCATTGATGAACTAATAATCTCGACTCAAATAGGACTTGCTAGGTCATTGACTATTCATAGCTATTACGAATAAAAAAACATCATATATATGGACCAAACTGAAACTAGATTAGGTCACTCCTCATGTATGGAATTTGATATGCAAGGCATGGGGGAAAAAGATATTCTTGTTTTTACACAGAGATAGCTGGCATCTTATCCAAGTTATTTTCTAGTATTTTTTATCAACTTATAATATACACCCAACTGAAGTGATGTTGGTCTCTTGCAAAAATTTAGCCTAGCCAAAGTCATCCATATAATAGCTTAATACTCACACTTTACTACATATAAAATATTGGGTGCTCTGCTGTCATGCTTTTGAACACCATACATGAAGGTTCTTGACGGGGTCCTGGTCAAGATTAAGGAGTAGAAGCTCATCCGGAAGGCAAAATAGCTAAAGGGGGCAGAAATGAGCTCATATTGGTAATTTAAAGAAAACCCATATGTAACGCCAAAAAAATGAAAAAGGAGACATCCCAAGTCATGAGAAAATGAAATGTTAACTATGAACGAGACATGTTAATCCAATTTGATTGCGTGTTCAAAATCATTTGAGCTGAGGATCTTTCAAAAACAACATCTCTACCACCACGAGATAGTGGTAACTACCTCCACGAGATAGTGGTAAGGTCGGCGTACACTGTACCATTCACAGACCCCACTTGTGGGATTTTACTGGGTATGTTGTTGTTGTTCAAAATAATTAGTCAGTGGAAACAGAACCAACCACATAAATTAGGCAGCGCTATTCAGCAGAATTAAGCTTTCAATGCCACTTAAGAATACATCAAAATGCCTTCAAAAGGAGTGATATGTGGTATTAAGCAGGCCAAGTGTAACTGAAAAGCCAATTAAATAACTACCACTTACAGATATCAGAGAAATTTATTTACCTTCACAAAAGGTTGATCTCTACCAGGAAAAGAATCAATAAAGCTATCTTTTAACAGTATTGAAACCTACAAAATAATAAGAGAAGCTTAATGGACTCAGACTACTCTTTTCCAGATCAACATACCAAAAGATTGTGGGGGTCAAATGGAAACCCGACATACCCGGTCACTGTTTGACTGTACACTAGTTATTGTATGAGACCTCAAATCTGAACAAAGAGACTCCAAATAGCGCCGCATAACAGTCAAGAATTGTGTTGCAGCTTCAGCCTGGAGATAAGTCATAGTTTAACAACAAAAACATAAAAGGAGAAAAGCATAGGGGAAGAATTAAAACAATTCAGAAAGGGCAGCTGTCACACAAGCACCATTTTTACAATCAACTAGCCCGTATATAAAAAAAAATTCTCATTATATTTTTTGACCTGATCATAACACAGTTTTTGAGGGTGAATAAAGTTACATTGCCCTTTCTTATCCTCGCTTGAAATAGACTGCACTCTTCATATGGTTTCAAATTCCTCATCATTGTCACCAGGGGCAGAAGACAGGAAGGGCCAGAAAATTTCACTGGTTTATATGTGATAAAAAATATTTTTTATGTATATATAGTAGCGCTATTGAATCCCCTTTGGCTTCTTCGTGTGTTTAATTCTTCATATTTTGAACCCCCTTGGTGAAAATGTTGGTTCTACCACTGCTTGCCACATCTTAATTCAGACTTAGTGTCAAGGTGCAAGTGAAGATAAAAGATAAAACTAAATATGTGACTGGCTGGTTAAGCTTCATTTATTCAAAATAAGGTTTCGAAAAAGTGACATTTCTTTTAGCAGATTTAAACTATGTTTTATGGATAACTTTTCAAATCTTTTCAACTGCATTAGCTTTTCAAAAAGTCCTCGGCCATTCTGCAAAATATTTTGAACTTGAAGAACTACCGGGAACCATAAGTAAATATCTACTACTGGTCCTAGACTTAGAGCATGTGTTTCATTGACTACATTTTTTAATAATTCAGGCAGAAGACAGACAACTCATTCCCAAGCCATTTGAATCCTTTCAGTAGATTATTAGCAGCTTAACACCTAGTTGAAGAAGGAGTGAACAGGTTAGAGTGTATTATGTTATTTCACTTTTAATGTAATAAGGAGTATGTAAATGAGGCAGAATCACGGGAAAAAGTGATACACTATAATGTATACTCAAATTTGGACCATCGGAAAAAAAGTTAATGACTTCACAGTGACATAACAGGAAAAAAATTCCAGGGTATTCAAATCTCAGGCAAAGCACTACATTAAAAAAAGTTGAATGACAGATACCTGTACTTCATTGCATCTGTATATAGGGCGCCGTTGAGCAACAGATTCTTCACGTGACAATCTGGCATGGATTGGCCGCAGTTCTGATAGAAGCTGCTTACGTCTAGGAAGTAGAGGCAAGTAACAAGATTTTATCTGCAGCCCCAACAAAAAAAAAATAACAAGATGAAAAATTTGAAAGCTAAGACAACCAAGTTTTAGCAATATTGAGAAGAATTACATTAAACAGCATCAGAAATATAGAGAATAACTTATATGCTCTTGGTAAGCACAAGTAAGAAAAATACAAAGTATCTTCGTATCCGACACCAATAGTATGGAAATGATCAACTGATGAACTTCACTTAATATAATCATTTAGAAATTGTTAAACTAAAGACGAAACCATAATAGTAAGGGTCTAGACTAATAAAAAGGAGAAAGAAGAAACATTTCGTGGAGGGGCAAAGTTCTCGAGAGAAAATTTGCAGAATCTACTTACCAGATAAACTAAATACTTCCATGAACTATAACTATTATGAACTAACCTGATCTTTGGTTACATTAACACGGACAAGATTAGCACTTCTCATCTTCAAATCAGTTGGTTTGTGCTGCAGCCCAACCTGTCAATCATTGGTCACAAAGAAGACAGTGGAATTGAGAATATGATTTGCAGTTTCTCCTCCAAGTACAAAACAGAAATCCACACCCCAAAAGCTAGCTCAAATGGAGGAGGATTTCTCAAGCCTTATAAGGAGTCCACCCATCTCATTAACTACCAATATGGGACTTTTTGTCATTCTTTAACACCCCACCTCACACCCAGTGCTTAGCATCTGGTGCGTGGGCAATTTTGATTTTTGGGGGTCCCAACATTGGGTGAGATGGGCCCTGCTTTGATGCCATGTGAAATTAGGTCTTAGGCCTAACTCACACCCCAAAATCTAGCTCCCATCTCATTAACTACCAATGTGGACTTTTTGTCATTCTTTTAACACCCCACCTCACGTCCAGTGCTTAGCTTACTTATAAAAATAGTCCTATCAAAGATTCTTTTTAACACTTATTGGCAAAGGGAACAAAGACATAACATAGTAAATTTCAATGCTCCCGTCTTCAAGCCCTTCAGTTCTAAAGAGAGAATAGTTCCTAATCCAACTGAAAAATAATAAAGGGATGCCTGAACATTTTTTCCTTTTTTCAACCACATATGATTTGGAAGGAGATATCAGCTAGCATACCTAAACTTAAAAGATTTTACATTATCTTACATGGACAATAGGCAGGCAACACAAAACTATTCTCAAACTTCCCACTTTAAGCATCCCCACTGGAACTGTCAATTAACATCCAGTGCTTTGTGAACACGTAAATGTGAAAGAACATTAATGCAGACGTCAAACAGATACTAAAATCAGAAGAGAAAGAGCAGGCATATTCATTTGACTGATTCAGGCACTTAATTGACTCATCTAGTACAATAAACCGAATATATAGCATAAGTTATAGTTAGACAATCTTAAGATTGCAATAGAACTGTAGCAGAACTTCACAAAGTAGAAGCGTGAGAAAACATGTAAGAAACTCACAATGAAAGGTACGGGAGCATCAAGAAAATCCAGCATCTTCCCAGGCAAAATCTGATAAAAAACAAAGTCAATTGATGATTGTAACTTGAGGAGAAGAAGAAATATGGGGAGTACAACATTCAGTATTATGACCATTAAAATCATGAAATAAGATAGCTAAACACATACATTGCTGCATAGTTAAGTTCTCGTGTAATTCAGTATCAATGTACCATGAGCAGCTTTCTATATCACAAATGGTTTATCAATCTCCAGCATATCCTTAATGCCGAGGAATACAACGTTACCAATTTTTAAAAAATGGTTTACAGTTCAATGCATGTTTTGCATCAAAGTTATTATGCTCACATCATTGAAGGGCCGTGTGAAATTCAAGGGGTAAATTCTCCTCACCCATAAGTTGTTGGCGATATTGTGTACTTGATCTATTAGATTTAAATTATCCTAATACATCTACAAATATGAATATTGCACATTTGAGTTCCAACTTCCAAGTAATGTGTTGAGTCCCACATTGGTGGGCTTAGGAAAATTTGGTCTCCTTATATGGTCTTGGACAATCCTCCCCTCATGAGCTAGCGTTTGGGTTGAGTTAGGTCCAAGATGCATTTCTTTCATATTGAATGTGAGTACAGATTTGTAAAGACACACACACACACGCACGCACACAGATATGTACATACAATGTTCTCCAATGATCAGAAATGGAAGTAAAGTCTTAACAATTCCAATATTAGTAATTAACTAATTATCATACCTGATAACGACATCTTTTACGAGGTTTTCTTTGAATACCAATATTTGAACAAAATTTTAGTAGATTTACTCTGTACAATCAAGCATATGGACTGGCTGAAACCTACTACCATAATAGAATTTGGAAACTTGTCCCTTGTTTCATACAAGAGAGATTTTGAATTTGATATATTTCTCTTCATATTTTATTTTTTTATGACAATATATTTCTCTTCATATTTAAGACAGTAAAAAAAATTCGTGAAAGTATAGAGCTGGAGCAAACATACACAAAAGACATCATCCATGAAAGAAAAAGAGGCATGTGAAAATATCCAACCTCATGACTAAACAGTGGTAGACAACTCTTTTCCTTACGTGATCATTAATGATTTAAGAGTAAATTTTAGCTTCGTACAAGGCTCTAACAAATAAGAAACCAGAGGAACTGGCAACTCTATGATTGAAGGTTAAGGAATATAGTCGTCTTACTATCTTCAATGTGCTGTTGAACTTTAGGACATCATATCTCATTAACGAATAAGAAACACGGTTGGAATGCTTTGTTAATTACGGAGTTCCCACTTTTATTTTGGCAATTACTCATCCTCTTATCTTTGTATTCCTTATCAATAAAATTCACTTTCCTATTAAAGAAAATTCAGATTCATACCTAAGTTCTCAATTCATTTTCAGGTTCTTCACGTTACCCCTTGAATTCATAACTTAATTCCATTTCAGATAATGTTAAGAAGAAATTAAAATCGATGTACTACGAGGATGAATTTCTCATTGTATTGCATGGGTTACTATAAGTTCATGAATGATTAGCTTAACATTTCACAAGTAGGACTACAGTGCTCCCTCTCTAAAAGCTAGTCTATCAAAATCCATATTTCATATCCTAAAGTTTGCATTTCCCTGCACAACTACTTAATTCATTTATACTTCGGAGAATCCCATAATAAGAAATGCAACTCATAATCTTGTCAACAAGTCCCGGCAGGTTTTTATACATATAAACTAAAGAGTTTATTCAACTAGAATCCCATAACGTAAGGACAAACATGCAATCAAGCATTCAATATCACCAAGGGGAAGACAAATAGTTGTGAACAAGCAACATTCCTGTACAGAGTGAAAATTAAATGACAAGTACAGGTACTCATTCAAACACCCATTAATCTATTGAACATTTAAAATAAGATTCAATGGTGGTACATCACAATAAATATCAACGAAGATTACCGACATTAAATACGAGACTGTGAAGTAATAGCTATGATACAGAACGTACAGGTAAGAATAAACTCTGCCATTGAAATGGGCGAATAATGGGAATCAGAGACAGCACCACAGCAGATAGAACACCCTGTACTTGTTGCAAAATAAGAAAATGAATGAGGCCCTGACGTAGGACAGATTTTGCATGTTCAGGAAACTCAAGAAATACCAAACGCATATGGATTCCAAGATAAATCACAAATTACCAAATTGGGGCACACAATAACCACTTGTTTTTCGAGAAGCACACCAGTGATTAAGGCCAATATCTGAAAGAGGAATTACTTGTCAAACAGAATAATGAATGTCATGTGAAGTTCACAATCAAATGCAATGAAATTTATGAAGTGCATACACTTCTAAGAGGCCAAGCATCCATGCTGAGCACATAGAGGACACACACAGGTCAGATGATTAGATGTGACCAGATTGTTTTAGTTATTTAACTACATGGCAATGATAGACATGCACAACTCCTAATCGTGTCTCAAACTTGTCAAAAGATGGAACTTCTGTTTTGATAAATTATAAAGTTTTTTATTGATATTACACTGAAATGGTATCACAAACATGTAGAATATATCAAACTGCCTCAGCCAAAGTTCTCCGTCTCATTAGCGCAACTATCTATACGATATGGAATTCTTTATTTAAAGATGGAGATGTTCCCCACTTAGTGGGATTTCACTGGGTATGTTGTTGTTGTAAAGATGGAGATGTTAAAAGAGGCAACTCCCTTTTTCTCTTTTCTTGTTTGTGCTTTTTTTCCCGTAATAACAGTTTAAGATCCAAGCAAACAATTTCCAAAGGTTCCAACTTCCTCCCTCAAGGAAATGAAGCGTTCTTGTGTACGCTTTTGGGTACATTGAAGATGGGAATCCATGTGCATATGACATAATACACAAACACCTATCTACATACATAATACCTGTATGAATAGATAAATACATAGTGCGGTTGTATGTACACATGCAGTTTTGTGTATACAGGCATAGTTTGCTCAAGTAAATATATTTATGTAGGCAATTTTTTAGAGAAGTGTCTACCTCATATTTTGACCCAGAGAATGTTCGTGTTTTCATTGATAAAGCTTAGAAACTAAAACAGGACCAATTACTTCATTTAATCTTTATTGGGGATTATATTCATCGAATAATAATTAACAACTCTCCATGGTTCAACAAAAACTTGTTTGTAGTGGTTACTAATGCGAAAAAGAGACTGGTAATAAACCGAAAAGAAGATGAAGTTGTGCCTCAAAGGTCATACATCTGAGTCAACTGCAACTGAAACATGACATGATACTTATAACATCTAATGTAACTAAACTGTAGAACGAAAAATATACTACTAGCTAAAAACTAAATGATACGTGAGTTAACACTAAAAACTTACTTTCAACCATCCACTCCTAAGAAAAATAACAGTTCAATAAAATCATAACTAAACCTGATTGTGATGCTTGATAACTGATTAAAGTTAATTAATGGAAACAGAATTTGGTTGGCCTAGTAAATGATGTATCAGGTCAGCTTAAAATAAGGTTGCACCACTTCCTGTTTAACCACCCAGGTTAAATAAGATCAAAGAAATAGAAACACTTTGCTTGAAGATGGTTATGGGAGTATGTTGGGAATTGGCAAGCCAAGTAGTCGACAGTTAAGAACTATTGAGCCAGGAAAATCTTACAGTCTCAATTGAAAGTGAACGACATATTGTTGCGGCTGTCCATATAGATAGTCCAACAGCTTCCTCAGCAGCGGCTAAATGGAAATTTACCTAAGAAAATAATAACTGCCATCATTTAGAAAGGAAGAATTTCAATTCCAAGAAACGAATTAGAAATGATCTAACCTTTGCAATATCATCTGGATTATTCATACTTGTACCCAGATGTTTCTCACAAATTCCGAGTTCACAAACTGAAATTCTCTCGTATTGAATAGCCTGCAGATGTTCGAGTGGCTGAAAAGTGATCTTACTTCCTCGTGGTGGAAGAGACAAGGAATGATAACTACAAACTATTTGCAGCAAATCATTCTTATTCTCCTACAAAAGAGACCAATTAAGTAATTAGAGGAGGTGGGAACTCATAGGTGAGTAAAACACTAACATGAATTTCTGTGGGTGGAAAAGAAGACTACAGACTCTAGCCCACTCCAGTATCATCTCACACCCGGCATCCTTGTCATTGCTGAAAAATAAGTCATCATCTTCCTCCTCGGATGCCATACTTCTTGCTGAACTGCCAAAAGAAAACAGCTTATTGACTAATTTAAATTGAGTGGTACAATATGAGGAGAAATGTGTATTTATGGTCTATATATGCTGGATAACAGACACAGATGAAACAAGAAGAATACAATAATGCTCCATTCAACAAGAAAGGGGAAAAAAATAAAAGATATGACTATTCAGGAAAGAAATAAGGGGCACCTAATACCAGAATTTTAGGTCTGGTTTGTATGGGCTTATAGCTTATGGTTTATAAGCAATAAGCCATAAGTTAGGGCTTATTTTTGTTATTTTGACTTAAAAGCACTTCTTTATTTTACCCAAACACTACAAAAGTGCTTAAAAACATCTAAAATAAGCCAATCCAAACAAGCTCTTAAGTCTCAACTATCCTTGTAATAGAAGAAAGAAAACGAATTTAAAAGTTTGACCACCTAAATAAGGATTCAAAGCTTCCAAGGCGCTCCAATGAATGGAGTTTTGAGAAGACAAAAGGCCCACTCTCAGGGGTTCGGTAATTGTCTTGAATTCCATAAACCCTTTCAGTAGTATCAGATCGAATTTCTGAAGCTTCAGAGCCACAATCATCAACGTAAAGGATGTTCCTTCCCCCATCCTTACCAAATCCTCTTGTTTGACTATGATCTGATGCCTCACTGGCAGTGACACTTACAGGTGAAGAAACTTCCCACTTTGATGATGATGAGGGAACCTCATCGTCTGAGATTATCCCAGCTGCAGCAGCAGTAAGAGCAATTGCACTGTCAACTGGTATTGCAGAAGATGTCCAATCTGCTTCATCATCCCTATAAGAGGAATCAACGCTTGCATTTGATGCATCATTCATTTTCGATGCAGAGGGGATAAAATCAGTGAGATTTATTTCACTAACAAAATGTGTTATCCTATTTAGGCGCTCTTGTGCAATTACACTGCATTCAAATGAATATAATATAGTCAATGGCATAGAATATTCAATATTCATCTTTATCCATACCAGTGAACAGCTGATGAAAAGAAATTCAGCGCTAACCTGTTCAACATCTCATAGTGCAATTCAAATAAAGGAAATCTAGTCAAAAGACAATAACAGCGAGGTGCAGAAACCAAAAACCGACTGCGACCAATTGATGACTGGGAAGGGGGTGATGAAGAAACATAGATAGCTGGTGGTCTCTGAACAATTTCTGGTACATGTAAACATACACCATAAAGGGTAGCATTGTCTGCCACCTGATGAAAAGCACATACTGTAACTTCAACATTTTACAGGAACTAATATGAACTCACAGGCAGATAGACAACCAAACATAAAACACAAGGGAAAAGAAGGCAAAAATCAAAAGCTAGCAAAAAACCTAAGGTACACCACATATAGCAAATAGAGAAAATCATCTCCAAGAAAACAAGATGAGCAATAAATACAAACAGTAGAGGAAACAGGTTACGTGCCCTTCACTTAGAGTAGTCAATCAGTATAACTCATAATCCAGTCCAGCATGACCAAACAAAGCATATTGAAATTGATCGACACTTCATCAAAGAAAAAGTTATGAGTGGTGTCTTAAGTTTGTTCCATGTATCATCAGAAAAGCAATTAGCTGATGTGTTTAGCAAAGGTCTCAACAAATGAACTTTCCATACACTAGTTTGAAAGTTTGGCATGTTGGGACATCTTTGAACCAACTTGAGGGGGAGAGTTAACAAATTGATTCCCTAGCTTAATTGTAGGAGTAGATTAATATATATTGATGGTAATTGATTATGTAATATTTTCTTTCCTTATTTAGTCGTAGGACTTATTGTATAAGTACTCATTCTCATGGGATGTAAAATCATCAAGAAATACAAAGAAGTCTTTTCTTCTTGTTGAAATCTTCATTCTTTCATCTGATAACAGTGGCTAATAGGCGGAGAAACTTTCATAGAGTCATTGGAAATGGGTTGGTAGTCATTGAGGGGGAGGGGGAGATAAAAATGGCAATAGTGGATTTCTATGAACGTTTGCATAGGGAGCAAGTGAATTGAAGAGCTCTGTCAGGAGGGTGAGTTTAATCACATGTGAAAGGGGGAAAAAAATTATGTGTCATTGATTGAAAACCCCAAAAGTAGAAGTTCCACAATGATCTAAGGGAAAATTGTACAGCACAGAAGAAAACATATGTCAAGTACTCAATAAAGACACTACCAAAAGTATAAAATTGTCATTAGGAAAGAAAATGAAGAATTAATGTACTTATTAAGCACCGAAGAGCACAACACCAGAGTTCTCAATCAATCAACTAAGTGTTAATCCCAAACCAAAGGTCATGTATTTAGAAAATTATTTGAGCTTACCTTGAGAGAAAATACGAACGACGAATCATCTCTGCCTAAATGCTCCTGAGATAAAGGAAAAATAAGTTATTTCTACGAAGAGAACTCCATGTTTACTGGTTAATTAAATAAAATGGTGCAAAAAGCATTATAATTTCAGGAAGGATCCTAAAAAATTGTTGTACTGGACCTGCCCGTAGACCAGTTCATTTAATTCACTAAATGACGGTGTCCTTTCCATCACATGTGCCTGTATTACAAAGAAAACACATGATGAGAGAGAACTCTTTTTTTTGGAACCTAAACAATGTAGATCTCATACAAATATAGGTGAAGTAAATGCTGAATTGTCACCATACAGATCATTACTCTGAAATAACAACTTAGCCCTGCACTCAATATACTTCTCCACTAGAATTTGTAACACAGCGTCAGCAGATAGGTACCCTCAGACTTTCATTTTATCTTCTAATCTCCAGATATAGGAATCTCCTTCCTTGTACATATACCATTCCTTCCCATATTAGTGATTATCTTTAATTGGTTATGACCCTTTTTAGGATAACAATTTCATTGATGTAATGCTAAGTTCCCTGCATGCTTATAGTTATTTTTCACCCTACCTCAAGGCATTTTCTATTTGCAACTGTCCGTCACAATATTACTGACTGATATATTTGATACAAGTAAACAAGAGAACATGCATGCAAGATAGAAAACTAATTCGACTATAAGGAATAATGTTGGGAAGTAGAATGCCTTAAGTTACACCTTTACACCTCCAGGAAAGCAAAATGCTGCCAAATCCTTCAAACGCATAGCGAGCTTCTTTCCAGGAGGATATTTAAAGAGTACCTGGGAAAGAGAGGAAAGTAAAAGGAGGATAATGCTAAGGCAAGAAAATGTATCATACCATATAACTTAGATATAAGTAAATTATTGGAGCCAAAAATGGATATTTTACATATATACACACAGTGACTATGTACGACCAATAAATTTCATCCATCATACATCATGATGGAACTCAAGCAGTCTTGATCAATAACACACAACATCTTGAGGATTACTTAGAGTTACATTCCACAGCTAAGAGGAGGAAAAGTATAATAAGAAGAAAATACAATGGACACTGATTAGATATAAGAAGACAATGCACTTGGAAACAAAAAGTAGTAGTCAATCACATAAGAAAAGTGTGCCACTTTTACCAGAATAACAGCATCAACTGTTAACCTAATAGCAATGAAAGGAAAAAACGCATCTTGCCAACTTAAAGAGAAAAAAAAAAGAATCTGATCTTCAATATAATATTTGAGAAAATAAAAAGTATACCTGGAATGTCAATGCCCAAGCCCATGGCTTAAAACTATTAAGCAAAATACCAACTTATAGTAATATAAAATATGAATTGCAACTCACAAATAGAAGCTCGAAAAAGGGGAATCAATAAGCGTGAACATTTTGCTTGGTAACAATCTGAAATCATATCTAAAATAAACTTGTACCACAAAATAGGTTTGACCATGTTTTGAGAGAAAAAAGCATTTATTCAATTGTTTTCTCTATGACTAACAAGCTGAAGGACCGCACCGATGTCTCTAGTACTGAATTAATTTGGGATGTGAAATAAAGTTGGATTTGAATTATTTTATTAATTATGAGTAAACTATCTATTTTCCGAACATACTAATCATTAAAGCATCTTTCGGGATACTAGTAGCGCCGCACCGCCATCCCGCCCGCCCCAAAGAAAACTCAAACCAAAACTAGGAGCCCAAAAGTGACTACTTTATTCCCATGATGACTTGAATCCACAGCCTTAAGGTTGAAGCTTGAGGGTCCTTACCACTATGCTATCCCTTGTCACATAACTGCCCCATGTTTAATAAGCAGAATTTGACTTCTAAACCATAAATATGCAAAATTATGCAAGTACACAAACCTGAGGTTCTAGAGATGGAACTGAAGGGCCACAATTTGAAAGCATTCTGAAATCCACCATGTCAGATGTTTCTAACTGTACTTCCCATTTCTTTCTCCTGGCAAATGCATCCTCGACATCCTCAAGATTAGCATCTGGATGAAGACCGACGATAACAAAGTGCTCAAAAATCGAATCGAGCTCCTTATATTTCTTATAATCCTGCACATAATTTTTGTGTGTTTGTAAAATATGATTCTCCGAATTTCATGAGCAATCTAATATGTCAGAGCTGAAGGCTAGTTTCAATCCAACTATTACAACTCCCTAGAGGGGAATGCCCATAAGTGATATGTGCAGAGCATATAAGCTGGTCATAGGTACTTCATACTTGTGTATCAAAATATATGGAAATTTAGTAAAGTTATCCTCGTGATTTGAGTTGATATATCAAAATGGTGCATCTCTTCTTTATCTCACTATCTCTTGTCTAAAATTTTCATTATCGTGTTTAATAAACTCAACATGATTTTAGTCTTTACCCCTTCTCTCTTAATCATTCTAATTTGTATGAAGGACATAGAGGTGGTCGCAGGAGTCTCTTCCTATGTTAAATACTACAGGTCAAAGCAAGAGTAATTTATATATTACCCTCTCATGATTTTCCACCCTAAACTAAGAAACAAAGTCTCAAATATGTGAGTTTAAATATACTCAAATCCTGTTGTAATTTTGAAAATTATGAACTTGATGACCAAAAAAAAAGGAACTACAGGGGAAAAGGAACATAGAACTGTATATGCCAAAATTCAACACATTATTCTCCATGTTGCCTCAAAGAGTTTTAAAAAGCAACTTACTTTTAAAAGAAGTTGAGGGTAAAAAAACAGGATGTCCGAAAAGCTAAATCACAGGCAAGAAAAAAGCAGGAAATATACTTTGTTTCAGAATAATCTTTTCAAAAAATGCCATACACAAAACTACAAGCAGTTCAGATTCCAAAATGAAGGCAGCATACCGAGGTTTTGGAATGAAGCTGATACCACTGTCTCTTTTGGTTAGCCAAAACCTCAGGATTGAAGGATAAAAACGAGCTGTCTTCCTGTGAAGTAGAACCCCAATTTCGCAAAGTCTTTTGCATTTGAGACTTCCATTTCGTGAAGTTACTGCCACTTCTTTGAACAGAAGAAGTCACTATTTCACTACGACTTCTTCTATGCCCAACCCCAGTTGTGGAAAATTTTGAACTACTACTAGAGTAAACATTTTGCAGTGCCTCACCAGCCACTCTTACTGCTTCCTCAGATATTTGCTGTAATACCCTGTATGGTGATGATGGCAATTCCTCTTGCCCGTTGCCTTCTTTCATATTCCTTAATAACAATTTTTCAATTTACATCTCCCTTTTTTTCTTCAAACTCATTACTTCTGTTCGTTATTCAAGAGCATGATGATACCCTTCTTCTGTCACAACATTTCCAATGCATACTTGAAAAAACACCCAATCAAATATATTTCCTCAATTTGAAGAAATTTTCAATCTTTACTCACTGATGAACAGTACAATATGACTAAAAAACTTGCTCTTCCCACTTTAAGCAAACTATGAAGCACCCTGTGATACATAATAGGGGGAAATAAGTAGAAAAATTCAGAATCGCATATACATGTAATTTATACTCCAAATTGCTGCAGCAAAAATCATTCCTTTTTGTTTTCTCATAAAACAACAGCCACTCAATCGAATAGAAAATCTGAAAAACACCCAAATCAGATACAATGTGGAAAAAAAAAACGAAACGGCGAAAATGAAAAAGATTAGAGAATGCAATGTACGCTGAAAGGGCTGAATCATAATAAATTAGTGCAATAATCTCGGGTTCCGGAAAACATGTCGGAAAGGAAAGAGAAAAAAATGTGATTATTAATTACCCGAAAAGAAGAAATTAATTTGATCGTGGTTGGTTTTTGCATTTGTACGATGTGGTTTCTCGAGGTCACCGGATTTATCTGCGTCGTGCCGGTGTGGGGAGGAAAACGGTTGTCGCCGGCGCCGGAGTAGGGAGGAGAGATGAGAGGAAAGTTGCCGAGAATAGCGGTGGAGGGGGGAGCATGCAGAATGAGCATTGTTTTTCTCATTTTGAAGATCACCGTTTATTATTCAGGGGAAGTATTTTGCTAATTCCTGACCACTAATTTTTACCATGGTAAAATTTTGTGCCAAGTACGGTATTTTTTATTATTTTTTTTCAAGATATTGATCAAAAACACATACTCCTATGAAATATTATTTTTTGTGAGTATCTATTTAACTACAAATTGTTTGTGTTTTTCCATTTTTTTATCAAGTTATTTTTTACTTTAACTATTAATAACTATTTATTAAAATTTATCTAGAATGTGGATGAAATTTATGGTTAATATGCGAATACAAATAGTTTGTGTTTTTTTCATTTTTTTATCAAGTTTATTTTTTAACTTGAACTATTAATAATGGAAGTACTTAGTCTAGTCAGCTTCAAAGCGTGTTTTGATAAATTATTGATGATAGTTTAGATAAAAATATATGCAAACACTTAATAGTTTAAATATAAAACTCGTAAAAATGATATTTGAAATGTTTTTTTTATCATTATATTTTTTCAATTTACCCGATATTACATATTTCTATTGAAATTCAACTAAATTCAAAACTATACAGAAAAATCTTACACCAAAAAATAAAACACACTCGATTAAAAATAATTTTATACTTTAAATTAAATTTAAATTCAAAAACTCTGACCATACGTATCGATATGAACTCTTTTAATTAGTTGTTCACATACTTACTCTTTCAACAAAAACAGTCCAAAATGAAATATTTATGAGGGAGTAAAACAATTGAGAACAAATTAAATCATAGGATATACTTGTATGTTGTATTATTATTATATTATTTAATTTATAGAAAGGGCACAAGTACTTCACAAAACTTATTAGAGCATGTTTCAACAGATTCATAGTTTTATGACTTATAAAAGAAAACTTAAAAAAGTTAGAAGTTTTAAATTATAATTTTTAACTCTTTTTTTAATATTTTAATTTAATTTTGTTATATTACGATTACCACCCAGTGCAGTCGTGTTGACACGTTTATAGTGTATATTAAACAGTTGAAATTTTGAAGAAAATGCCTAGTAATTGTTTTGTACTCCCACTCTTCATATTTTTATCCAATATTATATTACTCAAAAAAGAAAAAGAATAAAAAAGTGAAACAGTTATCAAAAAATATTCATTAAATTAATGGTATGCCAAAATATAACAATGTGCAACGTATTAAGATTTCCGTCAAATAAGGCCACTTATTAATGCTTTGTTTCCTCCATTAAACAAGTCAATCGTTTTTTGGGGTGCTCGCTTGTGTTTGCACTTTGAATAGGAATTTGCTATTTTGATATCTTATTTGGATAATGTTTGCTTCATGAATTATTTTTGTAAAAGATTTAAATAGTTTTTTGTATTATGTGAGATTAATTAAATTATTAAAGTTATTTTTAATTATAGAAAAGTGGTATTTTAATTAAGACAAATTAAAAATATATATATTCCATAAATTGAGACCAATGGGGTATTGACTTATGTCGTATATTTGGTGAGGAGATGATGAAAATGGTTCTTTCTGCTTGAGGGTGAGTTCAAATATAATCAAAACAATATTTTAGTCAATAATAAAATATTTGTCGAATTATATATGTTAAATTTGACTGACTATGAAAAAAATGAGACTTCACATTTAGAGCAATCAAAAAGGGTCACATAATAAGGGATACAATCAATGGAAGTTTGTTGATAATGGGGAAAAATCAAGAAAAAAAATAACAAATTTTATTCCTAAAGAAAAACAATGTCTCAAAGCACGGATAAAAAAAACAAGGGAGTCACTCAACTAAGTAAAATATATCAATCTCAATTTTATACTTTTCAATTATAGTTTTTGTGCTATCGATTTTCATAGAAAATTCGACACTCCCACTATTTGTCATATCAATCTCAATTTTATATTTTTCATAAAAAAAATCATTACTAAATACAACGAAAATATAACGGACAAATAGTAGGAGTGTCGAATTCGTTGTATTTAGTAATGATTTTTTTTAATAGTTTCTATTATTTCTAATTTATTTATAAAGTTTGGTGCAATTTTTTGAGATGCAATTTCTGTTGATTTTTAAAATATTTTTTGGGCGTCTAGTTGCATAGTTTAAAATTAGATATAACTTTCTTAGTGTTATGATTTAATCTTTTTTTAATAGTTTTCAGTAAATTTAATAGATAGTGTTCGATAAATATTTTGTTAAAGATTAAAAGTGATTAACTTTTTGCAAACTTAAAAAACAAACTTCGAAAATGCATTTCACATTTTCTGCAAATTAATTAATAACTAATTCATTGCACTATATATTCCATGTGTTATCTCATGTATTCAGATTAGCAAATCAGAAATAATAACAGATAAAAAGAAAAAGAAAAGAATTATTCGAGTCCACAGAATTCACTGTGTGCCCTTAAAAATTTAATCCCCTCAAGTTCCTGAGGTTGTAGATTAATTCCTCCCAAGATAAAACGAATTAACCATTAAAGAAATAACGGTCAGAAAGACAATAATGAGATCACACACACAAACATGATCGATCGATTTGTGTTTATAAGAAATGTATGCAGGAGAAGGGAAGAACTCGATGCAGAAAAATGAGAGAAACCCCCTCTATTTATAGCTAACAAGGGTAGTATGAAAATGTGTTAACAGTGTATTATCAGAAAGATCACAACTCCTTGAAAAAGAGACAACCTTTTAGAAACGTCACAACCCTTCACTTTCTATTCACACCTTTAAAACTCAACATCATGTCCAAAAGATACTGTAATTTATGATTACGAGTCTAGAAGGAATTGGCAATGAAAATGAAAATGGGCGAAGATAGAGAAGAACAAGCCCAACTCCTTACATGACAATTGTTTTATTTGGAAAATGTATTTTGGACTGGTTTAGAGTCGCCACTTAATTTTTAAGAAAAATCAAGAAAACTATTCATTTTCACGAGACTAAAACAGGAATCTAGTGAAAACTTGAAGAAGGGTTCGAGGTTCCTATTAATATTCTAGGAAGGTTTTTAAAGCACCTAGAATATCCGCTAATGCGGTTATCCAACAATTAATTTATTTGGCTAAAAGTACTTTAACTTAATTTGAATCGGACAATTTTTATAGTTAGAATCGTTTTAAGAAGGGAAGAGGGAAATATTGACCTTTTATTTAAGCGAAATATTTTGTAAAAAATACTTATTTATTTATTAAGTCAAGTAAGAGATGAACAATTTGGTTAAGTAATTGATTCAAAATGGGTGTCTTTTGGGGATTTGAATTTTTAAAACCTTAAGATTAAGCGGCAAATATTAACGAGCACACAAACATAATAAAGTAAAGAGGGAAAGAGACTCGAGCCCAAGTTTGGTTTTCTGTCCGCCTGGACCAATACTTGGGCCCATTTCATTTTGGGCCAAAAGGCCCAGTTTTTGCCACCTGTCCTAAATTCTAACAAGACAATAATAAGTAAAATAACAAGGGCTTAGGCCCTAAAAATAACAAAATACAACTTTTCGGAATTTGGGGGCCTTTAGGCCCATTTCCCTTTTTCGTATACACTAGATGTGCATTAGTGTATACAAATCTCGTGTATCTGCTCCGAACACCTGTACATCATTTTTGATACTCTCTTGAACACCGAAGGGCTGACTCGATACTCGAAGATGCAAGGAGGCAGTGGTAAAAGTCGAGATAGACTCGGCGAAGCATTACATGTAAAAAAAAAAAAAAAAAAAAAGTAGAGAAAAATAAAATAAAATAAATAATAAGCAAATTAATATACTCAAATGCTTTTCTATAAATAATAAAGTAAAGCTACATGAAATATAACTCAATGCACATGCTAAACATAATAAAATGAACTTAAAGAAATCATCTTCCAATTGGCTCCCAAAAGGACAAAGTAAGCTCATTCCAAAAACGTGAAAATAATGACAATATTAACAAACCATGCGCAGTAATCATATACAAATAAAACTTTGAGGTCTACTTCCTAGCATGCTTAAACTTTACCCAAACTTCATGTATATTTAAATTTGTATGATATTCTAAGGAAACAATAGGCAATTAGCTTTTGGAAAGAAAAGAAAAGAAAGAAAAAAAAAGTTTAACACTTGAAAATTCCAAACAGTGATATATGATCGGATAAATTGCACAAGTGCAATTCAATTCGGCTCACATGACCAACTAATATACCACAATTAAAATAAAATGTAATAACCAACTAAAGCAAGCACACTTCATTATTGTTTAAGAAAGGAGTGAGATTTCACACTGTTTTGTATTTTCGAAGAGGCGAACATACTAACATAAAATAAGTGCATCATAATTATATTTTATTATCAAAAGGGGGCCATTTAAAGAAACAAATACAAAATAGCGAGGAACAATCTCAACCCAATCGAAAGCAATACCCTCCATGACAATACAAGGTAATAAACCGAATCGAGACGCAACACAATGCCAAACATATATCAACAATGTAAGACAACAAGATATCTACAGTAAATGATCTTAATCATAGCGACTTATCATTTTCTAAAGCAGATTTAAGATTAAAGGCGTTTTGAACCAAAAAAAAAAAAAAAAAGAAAGAGCCTTGAAATTATTACAGTAAACAAAGGAAGCATATGCTATACTCAACAAACTATAAAAAACATGCTGAAAATGAGAAGAAATAAACAAAATCAATAGCTAGCAACATATGATTCTTAAACAAGGAAACCATAAGCATGAACAATACCTTTTAACTAAACATGATATACATCTAATAGTGAAAAAAACAGTTAAATAGGCAGAGATGTGGAAGAATCAGAATATGGGTCCTATATAAAAAAAAGAAATCTATTAAACACAAGAAAACTCTAACACTTTTGCACGAATCTATATTTGTACCGATATGGATGGAAACTGATTAAGATAAACTTCAGAAAATGAAAGCAAAAGCCATGATATGTTCAAAACACTTAACAGAACATGAACATGCGCACAAATAGAGAA